CCTCGGTTAACAGATGAGGAAGCAGGCCTCACCAACGTCAAGCAATGAGCCAGGGAAGGAGGAGAGGTGACCAGCACCCAGGTGTTCACGTTTGGAGTGCAAGCCAGTGTGGGCTTCCGAGCTGAGCAGACCTTGGTTCATGTTTTGGGGTTTGTCATTTACCACGTTTGAGCTGGTTGCTTCACCTCTCTGAGCCTTGGGTTCTCCATCCTTAAAATGCCTCATGAGATTGTTGGAAGGTGGAGAAATAACATATAAAGGTAGCCCAGAGCTGGGCCACCTATAAGGCACTCAACAAGCAGCAGTTCTTCCCACCTCAGTGGTGGTGCTGCCTTCTTAATCTTCTCTGCTTAACCCAGTGGTTGGTTGGTTGGTTGGTTTTCCCAAAGAGATGAGGGAGACACGGACCCCTTTGAGAATTTGTAACCTATGGACACCCAAACTCAGAGGGTTCCTAAACCTTTGCTGATAGTGGGGGTGAAAATTTAATAGATCCAGACTTAATCCAATCAATCAATCTCTCCTCCTTCTCCCTCTGTCTTCTCTGTTTTTTCTCTTTACTGTCCGGCCCTATGTGTGCCAGGCAAGCTGCTTTTATTTAGCTCGCACTTTTTCTAACATCTAACCTCTAAGGGCATTCTCAGCAAAGACCACAACCACACTCTCAGTTTCTGGAGCTGAGGGCATGGTGTCCCTTAAGTTTCCAAAGCATCAATTTCCTTATCTGTAAAATGGATGGTGAGGATTAATGAAGATAACATTGTTGGTTGATAGCACTTTGCCAGGTATGTTCACATGTGACCTCATTAAATCCAAACAATAATTCCGTGAGGTAGACCTTTCATTCAACTCAGTCAATATTGAGTGCCTACTATGTTCTAGGTAGTTTTAGCCACAGTGATGCCTCATGGAGCTCACAGAGGGGGAAGAGACTATAAAAACATGAACCACTAAATAAGGCAGTTTCAAATTGTAACAGATGTTATAACAAAAATGAAACAAGGTAAAGAGCTAAGGGATGGTGGTTAGGTTACTACCTGGATACAATTTATATAAATTCGTAGTATCAAAGTATATCCTTGATACGTCTTTATTTATTTTATTATTTATTTATTTATTTATTTTGGTACGCGGGCCTCTCACCGTTGCGGCCTCTCCCGTTGCGGAGCACAGGCTCCGGACGCGCAGGCTCCGCGGCCATGGCTCACGGGCCCAGCCGCTCCGCGGCATGTGGGATCTTCCCGGACTGGGGCATGAACCCGTGTCCCCTGCATCGGCAGGTGGACTCTCAACCACTGCACCACCAGGGAAGCCCCATACTTCTTTATTTTTATAGTAGCTCCCCCCCCACCCCCATCCCTGCCCCGGCCCCATAAATACAGATTCTCAGTGGACTGCTCTCCATGGGCACTACAGAATGCTTCAGTCTGCCCTCTTAAGACAAAGGGCCTCAGGAGGTTTCTAGGCCTGATATCCCTAACTAGTTAGTAGAGAGTTTAACTGAACTTCAAGGCAAGTCTATGAAAGGTGCGGACTTTGAATCTCAGACACCATTCCTTGGAGCTGGCAGTCTCTGCTTGCATTACCACATTTGAGGAGGGCAAATCCAGCCTGTGAAACTCATAAAGATGCCATCCCTAAGTAAAATAACCACCAACTGAACATGTTTGAAGTATGTGAAACAAAGATGAATGTAGTCAATTCAGAAAAATGAGCCCATTGGGGAAGAGAACAGTGGCTACAGCTGTGCAGAACGAAACTGCCCAGATGGTTTTATATTCTCCTTTACAGCAGAACATAATATTCTTTTTACCAAGGCAATGAATTTTCTCTAATAATTTGTTCTTTAAAAAAAAATACCTGGGCTTCCCTGGTGGCGCAGTGGTTGAGAGTCTGCCTGCTGATGCAGGGGACATGGGTTCGTGCCCCGGTCCAGGAAGATCCCTCGTGCCGCAGAGCACTGAGCCTGCGCGTCCAGAGCCTGTGCTCCGCAACGGAGAGGCCACAACAGTGAGAGGCCCACACACCGCAAAAAAACCCCCCAAAAACAAAAAAAAACCTACTGTATGTCAGTTACTTAATATAACGTATTAATAAACTTCACAAGAAATCTATAAAGAAACAATTTCAGCCAGTTTAAGTAACTTGACCACAGCCAACATTGGTAGAGGTGGGGATTGGAGCTCAGGTTGTCACTGAGCTGCAATCCTGTGTCCTTTAAATGCACCACCCAACAAACCTCAGATGCCGCCCACTTGGTTAGAGAGAGGAGTGGCAGAGCCCAGGCCAGGCGAGGTCCAAGGGGGAAGCCCTTCACCCACCAGTATTCCTCACCCAGCACACTGTCCAGCCCACAGAATTCCACTTGACCATTCCATGAAAGGCAAGGGCCCCTTTCTGCTATCAAAGACAAAGTGGTTGGTTCTTTGTTTTGTTTGTTTTGTTTTTGTTTGTCCCCCCCCCCCCCCGTGTCTTTCAGTGTTTTAAATGACTCTAGTGCCAACCAGCTTGGGATTGCTCTTTTCCAAAATTAAAATGCCTTTAAGTTGTTTTCATTATAAAGGTGGAACATATTTGTTGCAAAAAGTGTGCATAGCAGAAGAGAGCGAGCCTCCCTGCCCATTTTTGGGCAGGATAGCCTTAAACATGCCTTCTGAACATGTTTTGTTGTTGTTTTAAAAGATGGGTCTTTTAAGTCCTCTCACAAGGGGCTGTATAGTGCTAACCCCCTCAGGTTTTCAGATGACACTCTAGACTGGCCTTAAGTTGAATAATAATTAGTTCAGTTTTCAAGAAACCTTTATGGAATATCACCTGTGTGCTAGGTGTTGCTGATCCAAGGTGGATCGAAACAGCCTCAGACTTTAGGGAACTCATTCTGTTGTTGAAAATCCTTGCATAAACCAAGGGTTAGATAGATGGTAATCCCCCAGTGAACAGAGTATCACTAAAAGTGATACAGAGTATCACTTTTAGAATTGGTTAAAAACTTTCTTTTTAATCAGAATGACACATATGACATAATTAACTAATCTGAGACATAGACAAATATTCAAGTGTAAAAGTTCTTTACTTTGCAGGTAACCCTGCCTCAGGCTGGCATAGATGGGGTAGGGATGGGGTGCATACCCCCCAGCAGCATACATTGTTTCTTTTCATTCCGGTTGTTGAGATCTCCCTGGGTAACTTGCACAAAGTGTTCCATGTGGCCTAAGTGTATGCCAGGTCAGTTAGTCAGCAGCTCTGCATCAGGAATGGGCCCATTTTTCCATTACACCAATGTTACATTTTCAAAATGGAAGGTATTGAAAATGTAAATTTAAAAGCATTTGCTGTGCAGGAGAGGGAGATTCTAGGGCCAGGACTAGAATCCAAGTCTCCTCACACCAGTTTGATGTGTTTTCCATTACATCCCATGATTGAGTCTTAGAGCACTGAATGGGTGATTATTAATCTTTATGGACTTTTTATCCAATGCTGATTATATGGACTGGATTGTGCTGGGCAACAGAGATTTAAAGTTGGACGGGTCAGGGAATTCCCTGGCAGTCCAGTGGTTAAGGCTCAGCGCTTTCACTGCGGAGGCCTCGGTTCCATCCCTGGTCAGGGAACTAAGATTCCACAAGCCACACTGTGCAGCCAAAAAATAAAATAAAGTTGGACAGGTCAGTCACTGCACTTGATAAATAAACAGCTCAGTGAGAAGACAGAAGAATAAATTGACAATTTACACCCTGAAAAGTGTTAGTTGCAGAGGAAAGGGCACCAAGCAGAGGGGGTGGGAACACAGTGGGGGGGGGGGGCTTCTCAATTTACTGAGTGAATGAAAGCTCATTTGAAGAAACAATTTATATTATTTCTTTTACCTTTCCCAGAGCCAAGACCTGAAGAGCCGCTGGGCTTTCCCACATTGGGTGGGAGGTCAGGCTCAGTACACTGCCAAATTGTTGATGGTGATCAGATTAGTGTGTAATCCGATATGATCTAATCAAACAAGATGTAATCAATGCTGGTATTTTAAACCAATTTTCAACTGTTTAGTAGCTTTTTTTTTTTTAGTAGTAATAATACTTTATTAATAGTAAAATTTAGTGCTTCTAGGATGAGGGCAAGGGCCCTCAAGGATGGTGTCTTGGGCTTGTCTGATTGAGGCCCTAATGATTTAGAGGAAATAGCCACTCATTCATTTATTCATTCATTCATTCAAGAAGTATTTATTTGGTACCTCTGTACCAGACACTGTGTTTTGGGGAAAGTGAGACACGGGCTATTACCTCTTGTAGCTAAACTGTTTGACTTTTGACAAATCACTTTCACTCTCTGGGCCTCAAATCCTTGACCTGTTCAGAGATGTGCGGTCACAGTGGACCTGGACTGTTTAGATTCACATTCCAGCTTCTCTTCTCTCCTGTTACATGACCACATGCAAGTTAATTTAGTCTCCCTGAACTTCAGTTTCCTCATCTGTAACATGGGGATAATATTTCTCGTTTCATTGGGTTGTACTGAGAGTGAAACTTAGCTCAACCACTGGGCTTAGTGCCCCCAATCAAGGGTGGTCACTAGCGTTAATCCCTGATTTCCTGAGCCGCAAACCCACCCTGGAACCACACACAGGTGTTATTTGGGGCGTGGCTCACAGCTCAAGGGGGCGGGCTAGGATTTATAAAGGCAAGGTCCGGCGCAGTGGTCTCATCCTGCCTTGGCTGGACACCGGAGTGGTTTTCCAGGCCGTGGCTCCGCACTACGAGGACCTGAAGCGAGGCTGCCCAGCGGCGACCAGTGCGAAGCCGACGCGCTCGGGCCAAGCTGCTCCAGTTCCCGGCGCACGCGGCTCCGGGAGGGCGCAGAGGACCGGACCCCCACAACCACAGGCCGTGGGGGCGGGGCCTGCAGCCGGCCGGCCCGCCCGCCCCCCACAGCCCGCGGCCCCTACACCCCACTTCGCCGAGGCCCGGAAGGGACCAGTCGCGCTTCCGTCCCCGCGGGGGAGGCACGGAGGGCGGAGCTGCAGCCAGAGGACGCGACGCGAGCCCAGTTCCGGCGAGGAGGCCGCGCCAGTGACAGCGATGGCGGCGGAGTCGGCGCTCCAAGTTGTGGAGAAGCTGCAGCCGCGCCTGGCCGCGAACCCGGACCCGAAGAAGGTGAGCGAGCGGACAGCGCGGAGAGGGCCGGGCGTTGGGCGCGGCGCGGCCCCGTAACGGTCGCGGACCCCGGTGCGGCTCCTTTCCGAGCGGCCGGGGCCGTGGGCGCTCAGACCCGGAGCGCGGCCCCGCCGGTCTGCGGCCTGCGATCGGGAAGTTAGTGGCCCTTGGCCGCTACCCACGCGGTGGGACCCCGCACGGCGGGTGGCGCGCCTCTGCGGGCCCGGCCTCCCTGCCTCCCGGGCCGGGCGCCCGCGGGCTCCGGGCGGACACCGCGTGTCGGCGGGGCTCCCGGAGCCCTCCCCCGGCGTCCCGGGCCAGCTGTTTCCTGTCGGGAGAGCTCGCCCGGAGTTAACTCCTGCCCGCTCCATTCCTCACCTTGCGAAATGTTTCTGATTTCTTAGTGTCTTTTGATGTTTGTTGGGAGAAGGAGGTGGTTCTGCCTGTGCTTGATGGAGTCTAGGCTCGGTGTGTGGTCCTGCGTCTTTAAGACGTTTTTATTGCTTTGGCTTGATTATTAGAGCGTGGACCTTTTCGCTTTCTCAGTAAATCTCTTTCAAAACAAAATAAACCTCACGTCACCCTAACTAAAAACTTAGGTTGTAAATGGAAAGAAAAAAAAACAAGGCTTAGAAGTTGCAGCTAGATTTCCTTCTGGCCTTGATAGAAAGTTAAGAGCTACTGTTTCTGGCTGCTGCGAGTGATGGGCAACCATTTTTAATTGCACTCAGCTAGTTTTTTTCCCCCTTAACTGTTCTCTTAAGTTAAATGCATTCTTCTCTCTCTGCGACTTTTCTTCCATCCAGCTTCTTGGTGTCTGGGAGAGTGTCCCGTGGATGCTAGAGTTTTTTTTTTTAATTGAAATACATTGATGAAAACACTCAAGGTGTTTGACATTCTCTGTCAGCATTATAGCTGGAGTGTACAGTGTTGTAAGAGTTGGATCTCTGAACCCCAGAGTGGCTTTTGAAGAGGAAATAATCCAGGGAGGCAGTCGAAATAAAGTGGTGAGGAGATTTGAGTTCTAATTTATTTGCCAGCCATGGACATTAGGGATGTTCCTTGCTAAGCCAGTTTCCTCACCTGCTTCTTCCCAGGACAGAACCAAAAGGCAGAAGTGCTCAGTAGATGTTAATCTCCACTCTTTACAATTTTTCTTGAAGGGCCCCTTTCTCTTCACCTCTTCTTGGCCTGTCATAGTTGAGGTTTTTTCCCTCCGTTTCTAAAGGCTGCTCAACGCATCTCACTATCAGACCGCTGTTTAACTCTCCTCATGCATACCTAGCTCAAAGATCCACTTCTTCAGGACATTTTAGCTTTAAGTCTGTGAAAACCGAAGTGCTTTCACTTGTTTTGTGTTATATTTCCTATAATGGCTTCAGTACCTAGTGGACATATTTACAAGTTTCTTTTTACAGTAACCCTTTGTGGGCATCTAATAAATGCTCATTATTTCCGAGTACTAGCTTGTTTTCCCAAACACTGTAGGTTTGTGACTGATTTTTTTTAAAACCCTAGAGCAATATGATGTAAATCGCCCCCATCTCCCCAATTTGGTGTTCCATCAGGTTAAAAAAAAATGCACCGTGTAGTGTCTACAGTCATTTTCCCACTAGAATTTAAATTTTGAAGCAGCTTTTCCAGTAGTTGATGTGCATAAAATTTCAGATTAAGAAAAGGTTTGTTTAACTTCACATCCTATTTGAACTATTAGTGATTGTGAGTATCTGGGCTTTCTCTTCCCAGATAGAAACTCACCCTGAGCTTCTGACTTTGCATTATGAAGATCATTTTTGCAAAGGGCACAATAGTTGGCATTCACAAATGAGCTAATGCAGAGGGAAAACTGCAAGCTGGTGCACTGGCCTTCTCAACCTTCTGTTAACCCAACAAGCTCCCACAGGTTGTTCTTGAATTGCAAGATGATTATATAGCAAGTACTGAACTTACAACTAAATCTTGATTTCAAACCATTATTAGCCAAACGGTTGATTCCACACCTATATTCATAGATTTCCTCGTATTAAACATAGGTGTTTAACTGTAACCCTTCTTTTCACTTTAAGCCCATCTATGATCTAGGCTTACGTGGGGAAAAAGGTATCAGGCAAACCAGGGTCACTTGGTTCCTACTATTTAAGTAGAAACAATTTTCATGGCTGGTAAAGTTACCTGTCCTGTGTTACAGTTTGAGCGTGGAAACTATGAAGAACACAGTTTGAAGGCAAGTGGAGAACGAGGGCGACATTACGATCATCTTTAGCTCTTTGTGATCAAGTAGTGTGCAGAGGCTAACTGAGATTCTTAAGCATGGACTGTGCAAATGTTTGACATTTCTCAATGACTTGTCATCAGTTCTTGCAAACTACAATAGGTCCCTAGGTTTGATAATAGCAAGTTTCCACCTACCTGAGGATACCCAAAGTGCTTTATCATTTTAACGCTTTGTTCTTTTTTGAACATTATTGAAAATAGAGGGGCTCTGAAGCCCTTTTTCTCTTATGTCGGGCTAAATTGGTTTGAATATCTCTAGGGTTTTAGGTTCATCTGCTTTTAAGTCGTCCCTCCTAACCCAAAACGAAGCAGAAAGGCAGCGTTTATGCTTCCAATTAGTGCTAGGCTTTGAGATGAACACACCTTCAGTGACTTCTGGCCCCATTCTTTTTTTTTTTTTTTTTTTTGCAGTACACGGGCCTCTCACTGTTGTGGCCTCTCCGGCTGCAGAGCACAGGCTCCGGACGCGCAGGCTCAGCGGCCGTGGCTCACGGGCCCAGCCGCTCCACGGCATGTGGGATCTTCCCGCACTGGGGCATGAACCCGTGTCCCCTGCATCGGCAGGCGGACTCTCAACCGCTGCGCCACCAGGGAAGCCGTGGCCCCATTCTTATATGTGGCCTTTGTAGAGGTCCTGCGACTCTGTCCTGGTGGTGACCTTCTTTCCTCTGTGGACTCTAAACTGTCTGACAACGTAACACTAAGGGGGGGTTCTTCTGCTTTGTGTCGAGTGTGCTAAGAGGCACATGAACTACTGCTCCATTTCCTTTTCCGGTCTTCTAAGGACAGTGTCTTTATGTTGGTTATTTCTCCTGGCTTTGTAGTACATGCTGTGGTAAACACACTTGACCTACTCGCTTGTTAGGCAAGTTACCTAACCTCACTGGGCTCAGTTTTAATATTTGTAAAATGGGGAACATAATATCCATTTTATAGAGTTGGTTAATGAGGATGAAATGAGGTAACACATGTAAGGACGTTAGCATAGTAGCCAGTGTACAGTAAATAGTATATAAATGCCTTCCAGGGAATGGCATTAGAGGAGACAACCTGTCTTTAACCTTTTCAATGATTCTAAATTTTCCTTTAAGGAAAGGAATTGGCATTCATCTTTGCACCCATAGCTTTGATGACAAGAAATACACATATACTTTGTCCTGAGTTGGATGGTGGTAGTGATCGAATTCGAAGTGGAGAATAATTTTCACTCATCTATGAAGGTGAAACTCCTTAGATACACCACTTGGCTTCTCATATGTTCGCAGTCAAAACAAGATTATCACGTGTGATCCAGTTGCTCTGCCTAGCAACCAGGTTCAGTAATTATTGAAGTAGAATGACCAGAAAAACATACTTGCTACTCCACCTAGTAGCAATATAGCATACTAATTGTAGCCTGGGCTACACATAGGAAAAGAACAGATCTTGTTATCAGATATTTAAATATAAAGGTAGTCACAGTTAATCTATTTTGAACTACTTGTACTTTTCAGCACTCCTCGAAAGATAGGTATATTTATATATAGATAAATATTTCCTAGAGGATGGCGTAGGGTAGAAGTGGAGCAAGTAGGAATTGGCTGGGGAACATCTGGTATAGGATCAAGGGCAGCCGTTTAAAGAATGGTCAGTTGATGAATGAAATGATTAATACGAAGCATGTATTAAGCTTGTACAGCATTCCAGGCACTATGGCTAAAGACTGCACATGGTTTGTCTCTCTAAATCCTCACAGCTTGTGAAGTACAGATAGGATCCAGTTCCTGTTTTGCAGATGAAGTAACTGAGGTTCAGAGAGGTTAGTGACTTGCACAAGATCACCCCGCAAGGAAGTGGCAGGGCCAGACTGAAGCCTGTCTCTGACTCTGGAACTCTGTCTTAACAGCTCTGCTATCTGATTTTGAGCCAGCTCAAGAGAATACAGAAAAGAAATGTGACCAAACCCAGATTGCTTCTCTAATCTACCCAGACATTTTGTGTTCACCATTTGCAACGGCAAAGCTCTGATTCTAGCAGCTTGAAATTGGTGTTGGCTTCCCACTTACATCGAAAAAACCCAGTTCTGTTAAACACACTTTTTCTGGAAACATGATACCCTTTTCCTGTAGAGACCTCTTCTCCTTTTTACTTTCCTCTATGCCGGGTGCATGAGTAATTTCCTAAAGTTGGCTCCTTTCTCAGAAAGTCTCTCTCAAAACTGGGCAGAAAGATAGTTGTTGATTACTTTTCTTAGAGCCGATAGGTTTGATTCTCTTCTCTACGTTTTATTTCCCCTTGGTGTAGCATAGTGGCTGAAAGCACACAATCTAAAGCCGCAGACCTAAGTGAATCCTGCCCTACTTGCATCCTGGGGCAAGTACCTTAACTTCTTCGAGTCTGTTTTCACACTTGTAAAATAAGGATAACAACCATACTGTATACTACAGAGCAGTGTAAGTACTTAACCACTGGATATTATTCTTATTTGTTCCAGTGAATGATTATGATTTTATAGAAATTAATGTTTATTTTATTCTCTGCAGCTATTGAAATATCTGAAGAAACTCTCCACCTTGCCTATTACAGTAGACATTCTTGCGGTAAGAACTGTGTAATTTTAGATGTTATATAGCTATATCCCCTCCCCTTCCTGACCAGAGAGATTATATAGTAAGAGCATGGGCTTTAGAAGTGAAAGAAACCAGACACAAGGCCACATATTGTATGGTTTTATTTATATGAAATGTCCAGAATAGGCAAATCCATAGATAGAATGTTAGAGTAGTGATTGCCAGGGATGGGGGGGAATTGGGAGGAACAGCGTTTCTTTTTAGGGTGATGAAAATGTTCTGGAATTAGTGGTGATGGTTGTGTAGTATTGTGAGTATTCTGGAAACCACTGAACTGTACACTTTAAAATGGTTAAAATAGTGAATTTTATCTCAGTTTTTTTTCTAAAAATTAAAAGAACATTGGCATCTAGTCCTGGATTCAAATCCAAGTTTGTGACTTTAGGCTGTTCCTTCTTTGTAAAATGGGGCAGGTCCTAACCTCACAGTTATCATGTAAGTATTAATTCAGGCACTCTACGCAGTGCTCTTAGCTCAGTGCCTAACACCTGCCATGATCACTCTTGTTATTATTGCTAAAGTTCTAGAAGTGTTTTAATTTAGTGTTTTCCTCTTCTGAATCTGGTGCACTTTGCTACTCTGTATCATTAGAGGTTTGGGGCACAGACACAAAGTAAGTTTGTACTGAGACTTGCAAGGTATGTTTTTTGGAAGGAAGTATTGGTTTGTTGAAAAGTAGGAGGTCTTATTTCTTTAGAAAATTGTGAGCCTAGTTCTACAACCCTGGAACAATTCCTTTGTCAATTTTGTAGGAGACCGGGGTTGGGAAAACGGTAAATAGCTTGCGAAAACATGAGCATGTCGGAAGCTTTGCCAAGGACCTAGTGGCCCAGTGGAAGAAGCTGGTTCCTGTGGAACGGTAAGAAAAGTTCCTCAATTCTGCCTCAATTCAAAGAAATAATCCATGATCATTATAGAATACTAGAAAACATTTAAAAATAGAAATAAGAATAAAAATTTCTTAATTCAACCATCCAGAGATAAGCATTATTGACGTTTTGGAATGTTTCTTCCTAACCTGTTCTGAAAAGGCATTTTTATATAGTTGTGAATAAACTGATGTAAATTACAGCTCTTTTTTAATGTAACAAGTTAAATATTTCCCTGTGTTGAAAAGCTTTTTAAGTATTTTCACTTCCCAAGATGTTTGATCTTCTTTGTGTCCTGTAGTTAAACTCGTCATTTCCCATTTATTGAATATTTGGACTTTCCCAGTTTTAAACCTTAGCTGAGTATCTTTGAGCAGAACCCATTTACCTTCTTCCCAAGACCTTGTTTCTAACTCTGTAAACTCTTCATCCCTTTTGTGAGTTCAGGTCCTGTGATGTTGTCCTCTGAACAAGGATTACCCTGAGATTTATACCTGCTTCATCTGCTTTTTCTTTTATTTTAGAAACACTGAGCCTGATGAACAGGACTTTGAGAAGAGCAATTCTCGAAAGCGCCCCAGGGATGCCCTTAAGGAGGGGGAGGGGGAGGGGGACTACCCAGGGAGCTGGAGAGCCTCCGGTAGCCAGTCCTGTAGTCCTGATAACAGGCAGAAAAAACACAGAAAACTCTCGGAGCTTGAGCGACCTCACAAAGTATCTCACAGTCATGAGAGGAGAGACGAGAGAAAGAGGTACCACAGAGCTTCTCCAGTTTACTCTTCAGACCACGAATCTTCCGACTACGGCCATGTTCAGTCCCCACTGTCATCCGCCAGCCCTCATCAGATGTCTGTGGACCATTACAGATCCCTGGAGGAGGACCACGAGCCCTTTGTTTCACACCAGAAGCCTGGCAAAGGCCACAGTAATGCCTTTCAGGACAGACTGGGGGTCAGTCAAGAACGACACCTGGGTGAAGCCCAAGGGAAAGAGGTCGTGAGTCAGAGCAAGGAGCACAGATCTTCCCATAAAGAAAAACGTCCGGTGAATTCCAAAGGAGATGAGAAGTCCTCTTTGAGCAGAGAAAAATCACACAAGGCCATCTCCAAAGAGGAAAACCGGCGGAGGCCACCCTCAGGGGACAGTACAAAGGAGAAAGCGCCCTCTAGTGGTGTCAAGAAAGAGAAGGAAAAAGAGGGCAGCACCAAGAAGCTTCTACCCCCCTTGGAGGTGGCATCAGACAACCACCTTAAAAAGCCAAAATACAGAGACCCAGAGAAAACCAAATCAGACAAAAACAAGCAGAGTGTAGAAAGCTTAGACATAGGCAAGGGGGCAGGAGACCTGTTGCCCAAGGCAAAAGAGGTTTCTAACAACCTAAAGGCTCAAGAAGGAAAAGTAAAACCTTCTCATTTAGATAGAAAGTCAGTGGGCTCCTTCCTTAAAGCTGAGGAGGCAGATATGGATGATGAATTCGAGCAGCCCACCATGTCTTTTGAGTCATACCTCAGCTATGACCAGCCCCGGAAGAAAAAGAAAAAGATTGTGAAAACTTCAACCACGACTCCTGGAGAAAAAGGATTTAAAAAACATGATTCAAAAAGCACTAGTAAAAACTTGGACTCAGTTCAGAAATTACCTAAGGTGAACGAAAACAAGTCAGAGAAGCTTCCGCCAGCTGGATCCCATTCAGCCAAGCTGAAAAAGGTAACCCCTGTGGCCCCCTCCCAGCCAGAGCACCTGGGCCGGCAGAGCTCCCGGGACGACCCCACCACTGTTTGTCTGGGCTGGCTTTCCCGTGGCCTGTTGAATTTCAGTTTGAAGTAATTTCCTCCCGGCCTCTCTGGCCACCAGGGTCAGTAGAACCCAAGAAAAGTATTTTCTGAGGCATCCCATTGTGCCGGGCCCATCTCTCCGTATCTCCTGACTTAGGTGGTGTCAGGCACAGCTGCCGCCCCTCCTGCAGACTGGATATGCCTGTGAAGTTATCTGCCACGTCAACACTGCTGGGCGTCGACTGTGGGAAAGAGCTGTGCTTGTAGAAAGAGGCTCTCCAGTCACTGGTCTCTTCTCTGCAGGTCCCCAGCGATGTGCTGCCAGTGTTACCAGACCTTCCATTACCTGTGATACAGGCCAATTACCGCCCCCTTCCTTCCCTTGAACTGATATCTGCCTTCCAACCAAAGCGAAAAGGTAATTTTCTTTGTCTTTTTTTCTTTTTTTAATGGAGAAAATGGTTTTAAAAATTCATTCATGGTCTGTCATCAGATTTTGGTGCATTTCCTAAGAGCACAGGTTCTGGAGTTGGATGGCTTGGGTTTGAATCCCAGCTCTGGCTTTTACTACAAGTTACATGAACTTGGGTAACAACTTAATTTCCTTGGACTTCAGTTTCATATTCTGTGAATGGGAGTAATAATGGTATCTGCCTATGAGGTGGATTGAAAGTGATAATGCTGGTAAAGCTCTGAGCTCTGGGTTTTTACACATAGTGTTTGCTAAATCTTAGCTGCTGCTATTACCAGCAGCCTTTTACTCTGTACATTCCATAGGGGCTTAAAGAAAGGCTAGGGACTTCCCTGGTGGTGCAGTGGTTAAGAATCCGCCTGCCAGTGCAGGGGTCACAAGTTCGATCCCTGGTCCGGGAAGATCCCACATGCCGCGGAGCAACTAAGCCCGTGTGCCACAACTACTGAAACCCATGTGCCAAGAGCCCATGCTCCGCAACACGAGAAGCCACTGCAATGAGAAGCCTGCGCACCACAACGAAGAGTAGCCCCCACTCGCCGCACCTAGAGAAAGCCCCCGCGCAGCAACGGAGGCCCAAATGCAGCCAAAAAATAAATAAATAAATAAAGGCTAGTTTTAATAGCAAAAGAATTAGATGCCACATAGGTGTCCCTTAGCAAGAGACTAACGGATGGATCATGGTTCATCCACACAGTGCAGCCGTTTAAAAAAAGAAGTAGAAAATCTATGTACTGATGGGATTTCTAAAATGTAAGTGACAGAATGGTTATAGTATGTTATTGATTGGTTAAAAAGGAATAAAATAAATGTTAGTTTATTTTTGCATTGACTCTCTGGAAGGACACAAGAAACTGGTAGCATTGGTTGTCTTTGAGAAAGGAAACTGGGAGGCTGGGGAATGGGGTGGAAGGAGGGTTTTCACTGTATTGCTCAGTGCCTTTTATAACTTACACTCCTGTTTTCTTGCCCTACAGCACTCTCCTCATCCCAGGAAGAGGAAGAAGCTGGATTCACCGGACGAAGAATGAATTCCAAGATGCAGGTCTATTCTGGTTCCAAGTGTGCCTATCTCCCCAAAATGATGACCTTGCACGAGCAGTGCATCCGGGTGCTTAAAAACAACATTGACTGTAAGTCACATGCTTCTCTCTTGCTCTTCAGCACGCTGTTGTGGCACTGGGACACCAGGTGACTTGGCCGCTACTCAGTGCTTTTTCCCTTTGATTGTCTGCAGCAATCTTTGAAGTGGGAGGCGTCCCATATTCTCTTCTTGAACCTGTTTTGGAGAGGTGTACACCTGATCAGTTATATCGCATAGAGGAGTACAATCACGTGAGTATCCTGTTTGGATGGGAAGAGGGCAGTGTGCTGCCTTGCATCTCCAGAAGTAGCTTTGTCTCTGAATCTGCCACGGTGATTGGCAGGTGGTGGTCGGATCACTGTTCTGGGTTTGTCTATGGGCCTTTAAACAGGCAGGTTTTTAGCACCTGCTCCTGGCATCTTAAGTAGGCCTCTTGGGCTAGAATCAAGATGGGATTGAAAGGTGGGAGAAGGGGATCATTTCCCACACTTCCCTTGAGCTTGCCTAGTTACAGAGGTCAAGGGGGAATTCTAGCAGCACAGCCCTTGGGATCCAGGGCAGGGACAGAGCTACTTGTTGACACTCAGGTGTCTGGTGAATATAAGATTGGCTGGGTGTCTCCTAGAGACAAACAGATCTATCCCCAAATCCTCCTAATGCTGGAGATGCTCATCTGATTGCATTAGCTGTCTCTAATTCAAAGGATCTATGACATATCCTTCTTAAGTGGCCCCTGGCCGTTGCAGTTCAGTGTAGTGATGGGGAAATGCCTGGATTTGACTTCATCCCAGTTCCTACCCTGCACTGATTTTCTAAAGGAAAAGACTGATCTTAAACTAATTTTTGTGTTGCCTTCTCTCCTAGCCCCACAACCCCCCAAAGCAGCTAGTATAGTGCCTCACACTTAACATTCTTTTTTTTTTTTTTGCGGTACGCGGGCCTCTCCCTGTTGTGGCCTCTCCCATTGCGGAGCA